TGACAGAAGAAGACCTGGAGGCTACCAAGCTCCACCCCAAAGAGGTTTTTACTTTTACTATGTTATTTTTGTGCCAACTTCAGACCGCACCATATCAACGCCTGTTAACATCCGTCCCTGCAGGTTGATAGGAACCTGAGTGAGAGTTCTGATGAAAACTTGATGGTGCGTTCACAGAAACAATTCAGTTCAGAGCCACAAACTACCAGCCTGCTCTGCCATCAGGTACTACAAGCTACTGAGGTACCTCACTGAATTAGCTGTGCGGCTTCTATTGAATGTACAGTACAGTTTGATTTGGGGTCTGTTCCTGTTGCTTCTCCAGGCAAACAGCTTGGTCTCGACCCCACTGGGTGAACTGGGGAGTGCTGGTGGGGTGGATACCCCTGCTTTTTTCGACCCTCTCATAAAACAGCAGAACCTGCCCCAGAGGCCCACCAGCCTCCAACTCTTCCCCAAAACCAAGGAGACCACCACTGTTTCTTGTCGACTTAAGCCGGGAAAGCTCCAGTTGAACCACAAACAGGTACAGTAGGATCTGATCTGATGGGGTTAGACTGGTCCTCCACCCAACAACCACTGTTTCACCATTATCCTCAGAGACACTTGGTAGATCCTGGTACAATATGTGTTTATATAAAATGCCTTTCAGTCACATTGCTGCATATACACATAACTGTTACAAGTTGATATTTTATTGCATCACTAAGTCAGGCTGTATTGTATTTCAGGTGGAAACAGGTGTCGCCAAGATGAACACAGTGACAGTTGCCACGGCTGCAGAGCCCCAAATGGTAACCACGGTAACCAATAACACCAAGACAAGAGGCAGTGTTGCAGCTGGGAGCAGAGTCCATGTGACAACAGTTGTTTCCAGCGGCTACAGTGCGGGAGTCCCCACCCTGGTGACGAATGCTATGATAGGCGGAGGTCGAACCAATCCGGCAGGACCACAACTAGATGAGGAGGACAAGATAGAGGGGGGGATGATTGGAGGAGAAGATGGCTGCTTGAATCTGCTCAATATCAGTCCTGATGAACATGAACCCCTGCTCAGGAGAGAACATCCACCTGCCGAGAGTGAACCTCTTTCTCATCTGCATCATCAGTCACGAGCTGGAAGCATCCTGTCAGGACGGGGTTCAAACTCCAACAACAACAACAATAGGATAGCATTGGGATCAGAGATTAAGATCCAGGGTTTAGAGGTTAAGGCTGAATGGATGATCAGTTCAGAGGCCAGTCATGGTAGAGGCATTAGCAGTCCTAAGCCTGAGCTACACCTGGCAAGTCAGCAAATCAGTGGATCCCCTGCTACTGCTCCACTTTTAAAGAATGAAAATTTACTTCTTCCTGGTCCAGTAGGACAATATACAGATTCAGGCACATGTTTCCAGAAAGTCCTTGTTGAAAAACCAGTACTGACCACTGGACATATTCAAATTCCAAAGGATCATCTGGTCCACTCTACAGCTACTGCTGAGGTCCTTGACTCCAGAGATTTAGGTTCTGGTTCAACAAACACACCAGAAGTGCCAGAAACCCCAACTTTACAAGCATGGGACTCGGGTCCTGAAACCTCAGCCTCATCTTCAAAAGCCGTAGTTTTGGACACTCTAATCCATGCCCAGAAACCTTCATCTACAGAAGCTCTAGGAGCTCCAGCCCCAGATCCAGAAACTCCAGTTGGGAATGTAGAAGCTTCAACTCTAGCAGGTCCAGCCTCAGAAAATCCAGCTCCAGAAACTCCAGTTTTGGAATCTCAAGATTCAGAAACCACAACACTTGCACATGTTTCAGCAGATCCTCCAATTCCAGATCTGTTGAAGCCCCAAATGGGACGGCCCAAAGTCAGGAGGCCTGAGCGTCCTTGTTCTCTGGACCTGTCCTCATCCTACATCTCCTCAGGTGAGCCAAGATTAATTGTTTAAGAACTGATGGTCATTTGACATGACATTAATTCCTCCATTGGAGCATCCAAAATCACAGAAGTGAAAAATACTGGGTTCAAATTTTCACATTTTTCACTCCGAGCCAAAGATTTCCGCCTATGTCAAAGATGCCCTTCCTGGAAATGAAATGCTATTTTCTCTTTCTTCAGTATTTTATAAGCACCCACCTAGGATTGAATCAGATTTGCCCTGAGGACCGATTTGAGGTTGTCAAGACAATGCTGAACTGGGAACAGACAGGAAAGCTGGAGGATGTGACTGTATTAGCTGTGGCGTGACACTAAATTCAGAGGCTAAACTGCTCCACAAACGAGGTGGGGTGGCTGTAGTGGGCAAGACAATGAAGCCCAAATTGCTCCCAATGGTCGGGCCAGCACCTTGTGAATGGGGGAATGTGTGGCACTTTGTAAAGTGCTTTGGCTAAAAGTGCTATACCAGTGCAGTCGTGGATAAATCAGTGGAGTTTGCGAGGCAGACAGTGAATCTGGCAGGCTGTGGTTAGGCATTCCCTGCTAGCTGCCGTGTTGGCTGCAGCAACAGTAGCGTACTAACTAGCCCCACATGTAATCACTACATCACCAACCTTCAGTATGAATGTAAGCAAAGTTAAACAAGCTCACATTCAGTTCTGCAGAAACATACAAGCTCCTGTAGCAGTACGGCTGTGTCTTGTAAATTATGTGCCTTCCTTTTTTAAAGGGAATACATCCATTAGTTTTCTAACTGTGCTGTCTCCTGTCCTCCTCAGATGAAGTTTTTCTGACTGATAACGGCAGCCTCAGTGCTTCAGGCGAGAAAATAAAACATCGTGTCAAGACACCCTACACCCTGAAAAAATGGCGTCCGGCCTCTTGGGTTGTTTCCACAGATACAGCTCTTGACTCTGACTTTGACTTCCACAGCAGTTGCAGTAGCAGCAGCCAGTCCCACTCTTCTTCTGGTTTTAACAGGGCAGAGGGCACTGACATCCCTAAGATCAACCAGTCAAAATCCAGCATGGCTGTGTTTTTGGTCAGCAGAGAAAGCTCCAAGCCTGATGGGATGACCTGCTTCTAAAGGTGCTAAATTAAAGCTTTCTTTTCTTAAAAGTGAGCAGGCTGTTCTTTTTACTTCTTGGTTTTTCTTCTCTTTTGTTGTGGAAAGTGGAGATCACAATCTGCTGTATTGTTCGGCCTCCCCAGCACTTAGCTCTTGAAGTTTTTTGGCAGAAATATATGGGACATTAAGTCAAACAGACTTTGAAATTTCAAAACAAGTCAAGATTTCTTGTGGTATCTGCATTTCCTTGATTTGGCTGGACACTTTCGAAAAGATCTGACCTTCATCCTAGAAATAAAGTCTATTTCTGGTCCACCCTTGGGTTCCTGGGGGGGTCCCTTCTAGATGATCGTCTCCTGCGACTAGCCTTGTGTTTAGTGGTTATGGCCTGTTTCTAGTGCCCAGGAGTTCAAACACATCAGTTGGTGATTAGGTAAAGAAGGTGTGGTTGTGGTCTCTGTTCTGGACTCACCTGTGGCTAGTGGATGTGGCCAGTGACTACTTGCTTTGGTGTTGATCATATCTGAGAACTGAAACTGCCCAAGGCCTTCAGCATCCATAATCTTCGCCTGTCGCTGGTGAGAGGGTCCCTTAACAGGTGTACCACCCCAGTCAAACTCCCCACCTGCCACTGTCCCCTGGTCTTGTGACTAGTGACCAGTGACTACTTGTTTCGGTGAGGACTTCAACATGTTTTTCTGCTGATAGTGAGGTTTTCATAGATATTTGGACTGTTGCGACTCGACTTGTGGCTTGTTGAGTCCAATCAGCGGTGAGATTTTTGTTAAAGCACTTTAAACAGAGTTAGTGTTATTTAGGAAATCTGCAAACCATATAAAGGTCACCCTTTGCAATTACATTAGTAACGGTGACTTTTAGGACACTTGTTTCTCGTCTTTGTACAATGTTTTGTGACTTAAAGAGGACTTTTTGCTTTAAACCTTAAATCTAGCTATGCATTCAGCTCACAATGCTTCCTGCTGCTGAGTGATTTGGGCTCAATTTGTCAAAAGCAACAACATGACTGTTCTCAATATTTATTCTTTTATTTTGCACTTTCTTTTTGAGCTGCCTTGTGAGGTCCGCTGTCATCAGCATGTTAGGCTGGAGGTACAGAGGAAGTCGACAAGGAAATGAAAGGAAGAAGAAGAAATGAAACAAGAGACAAACCATGGTCCTGTGCAGCCTGTGGAACCTCGGCCATGTACAATCTCCTCAGGTACCTCAACAGTACTAATGTAGACCAGATCTCGTTGGTCTAAAGATGAGCAGGAGATGAAGGGAATAAATGAGAGGCAAATTGATTTGAACCATCAGAAGAAAGAAGGTGAAGGGCAGATCTGATCCAACACACAAAATACACCTTCAGAGACTTCAGAGCTGTTTTAGGGCTGTGTTCGTCATCATTCCACCTAGACTCAGTCAGGTTTTGACAGTAGATTTTAGGACAGAGCTCAATCCTACAGCAAGTTATCAATTTACATTGTAGACTGGTACAATCTAAAGGTCTTTGTTCTCTTCAGACATGCTGGTCTGATTTTCTGACAGTGTCTGAAAGTAACTGAAAATTTTAATTAAACAAGGGCAACTTTAAGAACTTGCTGCAAACTGATATACAGTAGTTTGTTAAACTCAGCATATACCCACAATGCACAGTACTTTATTTTAGTATAACCACAGTATAACTAGGTCCAACCTGCTTTCCATCCACCAGGTGTTGAAGACTTTAAATTAAATCCACATAAATGATGTTTAGTGTTTGAATTAGACCCTTACAATTTATATTTTCATGTTGTTATTTACAAGGTATATGCACTTAGTAAAAGTAGTAGTAATAGTAGTTGTAGAACAATCCTTAAAATGTCAGATTGTTGAATGGAGTTTGGTGTGACATTTTTTAAACAAATGAAACATAAAAAATAGGTGGGTTAACAAACCCGGGCTGGATTAACAAATGGTAAAATATCACCACATTGTCATCATTTTTGTATTTGTTTTTTATTTGTTTGTTGTTTTTTTAAACAAAGCAACTTTTGATCAATAATTATATTCCTCTGAACATCTGAAAAGTTTTTTGAGTGACTGATTTTATAAATAGAAAATTGTGATGTTTTTCATATGTATATGTCTCTGCGTGACACACCTGTAGCCTTACACACCATGTTCTGTCTGTTTCCTGTTTCCTGTCCTAAATTTCAGATATATTTTCACATTAATAACATCATACTGTCATGTCAGCATGGTCACCTACTATGTAAACATTATCACACTGTTATTTTAGATGCCAGCTGTTTGGTTATTTTTGTATTTTTTATTTTGTACTGTTTTTAGATAATGCAAATGTATAAATGAATGCATGAAGGCAAATCCAGAACTGACTGTAGTCTAGAACCAGGATGAAGACAGCTCTCAAACCAGATGTACTGGTTCAGGTGGCTAAGCCTACAACCAAAATGTTTAAAACTCAAGCCTGGTACTGGGACCCTGCCTCCTGAACCAGGGACTACATGTGAGCTTTGAGTGACAGAGGACTGGGTGAGCAGTTATTTCCCACGGCTCTGGAAGCTTCTTATCACCACGTGGGCTTCACAGGCTCTAGCAAGAGTTTGACTTCAGGTGTGTTCACACTTGAGTACAAAACTGATTTTCGCCTCGTATCATTCACCACATGACGGATGTTCAGCTCACGCCTTGATACAAAACCTCAGCAGAAGCTCTGTTTTTGTTATTTTCTTCTCAACTGTGCATTTTTAGCTCGGAAATATGAACAAATTATTAGCTTAAGATAAGACTTTTTAATTTTTATATCTTACTGTCCCTGTCTCATCTGCTGACCCCGAAATCTTTTGTTAGCTGAAACATTTTCAACTTTAAATCTGTTTTTTTTTCTGACTTTATATTCCACCAGTCAGCCTTCAACATTTGCATTGTGTTGAGTCTAACCACAACGTTAGCCTAATGCTAACTGGTTCGGGGCTAAGTTTTATCTAGAAGTTTCTGCTAATCCTAAAGTGTGTCACTGCTGGGTTAACCCTTTAACATCATTTACTGTGGTTTATATAGTCATCATAGTGCTCAGTAGAAACATCTACCTGTTGTCTGTACTACTACTACATTTACGATTAACAGATTTAACCACTTTAAGCTTCTTGCATGAAATATCCCAACACTGAAATGTTATCTGTACTATTTCTGATGCCTCCACACCTGTCAGAAGCTCATACATCTGTTTTTAAACATCTGAGTTGCTGTGTGCGACATTTAAACAAACAGATGCCGGATGGGGGAGGCTTTGCTGCAGCTAGCGCTCTATACTGTCGATAAGAAAAACCATATTTAACTGGAGTTTAGCTGCTGTATGTTCTCCTGTTCTCACCATTTTGGGATGTTTCTTGTTGAATTTGTTATGTATTCTTTCCTTATTCATGTGTATTTATGTATAATAGGTTCCAGTGGTGTAAATACTCTGTACACGTTATTCCACATTGTACACTTTCATGTGCAACCAACTACCACCACTGTGCACTGTTACTGCTGTATTCAAAAGCTCACAGGTCATTCTCTTTCCTGCTGTTAACATTTCTGTATATATACACAGTATACTCACACAAAGCATGTTGTACACTCCTACAGATGATCTGGGGCATCAAGAGTTTTATTCCGACATCTTGTATATCCATGTAGAGGAACCTTCATAAAATATCACAAGCTTAATTACATCATTAAATAAAATGCAGAGGTCCAGTGTCCATGTGTTTTATTTAACACAATAAATGTTTTTACATCATCTCCTGTGTTTAATAATAGTAATACTAATAGTAACAATAGTAGTAATATGCTGAAAAAAGTAGACGAAATCATCTGGACATAGTTTTAGGTAGAAGACATTTTACCTTTCACCCAAGAGGCTTTATCACTTCTTTATCAGACCTGATACTACAACCTAGATGACTGAGAATTTGCATGGACAAATAGCAGTAATAGTCAATAAAAATAAAGTACTATCACTGGTATTTACTGTAAATACTGTCTGTAGAAAGAGTAGCTCTAGATTTTCATACACCCAAACATATAAAGAATGGATTATTCCCATTTATGAAGTATTACACAGTTTGTCAGTAGGTAGGAACATGTTAAATTGACAAATTTTTTAAATTGAGTCTAGTGTGGCATAACATCCCCAAATAATAATTATTTTTAAGAGATATGCCAAAGTGAAGAATAAACTTGCTGTAATTATAATGTGTTATAATCTGTGTCTGTACAATTGAGGATAAGCAGGAAAATAACAAATTACTTAAGCTTTGTGCACATTATTGCGCATGAGGTTACAGTGCAAAAGATGTGCTGAATTAAAGAGTGGATGCATTACTTTTAATATAAATTTACATTACATTAACCATCGGTGAATATGAAGTATTGGAAGAGCATACAGAATTGAAGTGGATCTTTTCTATTTATTGTGTTTTTTGCTATTTCATCTATTACATTTGTCCTTTAAAATGTTTAAGTTATTTAGTACAACATAGTTTGGTACATTTAATATAATTGTAGATTATACACTGGAAATACTGTGGATCCCACAATGGAGTAAAATGATTTTAAAAATGGGATTTCTTCAGTTAAGTTTGGTGAGAAAATATTTTAGTTATTTCACCTGAGTGTAGGACATCGTAAAACGTCATTTCATGTGAGGTAATGCCGAATTGAAGAGTGGATCGTTTTGGTTTGTTACAATCTAACCATTATCATCTACGAGTCATCTACATTATATGAGACTCGGAAAAATGTTAAAACTGCCAGATTTGTAAACGAAGTTCGACCTGTAGCAATCACTTACACGATAGTGTTGTTGTGATTTTAGAAGCCAACAGCGCCACATAGCGGTATAGGGTAGGCACTATAACTAGTTCCAAACGATGGCGTCATCACAGGGTCAAAACAGTACACTATCAAGTCCTACAGAAAAAAAGCGAAGCGCGATTTATATGAGGCGGAAGTGGAGGGAGGCGACGTCTGAAGACGAGGTTGAGTAGACTCGTTTTCATTTTCCTCGCTGATATAAACGTTTTAGAGCGGGACGCTGGGGCTCGTCTGCAGCAGAAGCAGCGAGGGGCCAGCAGCAGCTAGTACCAAGCTAACGGACAGCGTTTGCCCAGTGACGAGCGAACAGTTAGCTCACTGCTAGCTTCAAGCTAACATGTTAGCCCAACATGTCCGAATAATCAGAATCAACGTGCAAAACAGTAAACCAGCATAAGGCTGTGTAATATAACAAAATAAGCAGTATTAACCGCAGCATTGACAGCAACAAACAGTGCAAACAATGCAATATAAGCAGTATAAACAGACAGTAAACAATGCAGACAACAAAGGAATGTTCCTTGAAATGAGATAAATAGGGATAAAAATAGAGTACTTAAAACTAGAGACCTGTACGAGGTCAAACAGATCAAATCAAGCATGAGCTTCAGCTCATGTTATCTGGTCTAAACTGTTATTGACGGTATATTATCAGGAAATAACAAATGACCATCTCTTAGCGTGCCTCCTAAGGAGCTTAGTGCTTCTCTTAATGTGTCAGTGTACTTTTACAGCTAACAGTTAAGTTTCCTTTTCCCCTTAAGTATTTGCCTAGTTAAGATTTTTGCGATGTTACACGTTATTTCAGACAGTGTAAAGTGCTGACACCCAGCAGTTTAAACCCCAAATCTCATCCTGCTGCATTATCACCTTCAGATAAATGGCACTCATCTTCGCATGTAATCACAACAAGCAATGTGACTGATACAGAAACCGTTTTTCTTCTTGAATGAAGGAGTCTGTCATGGGATGACACACCTGTTGCTGTGGAGACGGCTGTGGAGCCTGGGTTTGTTACCATGGAGACGTTTGCCGACGGAAACCATGATGTCAGGCGGCCTGAACCTAATCAGGTGAGACATACACCCTGTGTAGACTTAGTTTTAAGATGCGTGGCAGTGGACAACAGAGACATGTCACTGTTCTCACCTGTCACCGTACATGTGTCCAGCTGACCACTTGTGTTCTGATTTCACTACTGCTGCAACAGTTCTGCTTAAATATCGAAAGGCCAAGGGCACAGTTATTACTTTAGTGTGTTACCCGACAAGCACAGTAGTCTTCCTAAGCAAAGAAGGAGGAGAAGAAAGCATCTGATTTGTACGTGGATGTCTTATGAAAGCTCACAATACATTGATGGATTTGTATCAGATGCTTCTCTCCATTTCTCTGTCTTGGGAGCGTTGGCACGCTCTCACCCAAACAACCAGCAAACCTTGCAGTGATGACCTATTTTCCTTAAATGGCCTCATTTGCGTTTACACTACAGAAGATACGTGGTCAAATGCTCCCAATGGTTTCTGTGATCAGATCACAATCCGTCTCGGTGGTCATTTACACTTGTATTTAGTGTTTAGACTGATCATTTGTGCTCTAGATAATTTCAGGGTTCTAGTATAAAATTTATGACTTAATAATGTGACTTTAATTTTGCCTAGTTTTTGTTTGTTGTTGTTTCTGCAATATCATCTCTGTTGTATTTGTTTTGCTGTGATTGGGGAGGCTGTAGTGTTTTGTGGATTGGTTGGACTGCTGGGGCCCTGCTGGGAGAGCTGTGACTCTACCCCGAGTGTGCATTGTCTTGCATGTTAATCAGATGCTGTGTCAGTTGGGTGCACCTGGTGTTCTTCTGTTGATCTGACCCTTGAGTGCTGAAAAAATGTAGAAGAAATCATCTGGACGTAGTTTTTAGGTAGAAAACATTTCACCTCTCATCCAAGAAGGTTCATGAATTCTGTCCAACTGATGGTGAGCAGGAGGTGGTGTTTCAGTCCTTCAAAGGCCAACAATGTCCTCTAAAGACTGAGTCATTGGGGTTTGGTATCGTGGTGAGGTGTGTTTCCCACCACAATAGCCAGAATGGTGGCCACATGCTTGGCTATGTTGTAAGTCACAGAGTTAATGCTGCTAACAGTGGGTCTGAGTGGGGCTCCTTCCTTGTGTATTTTGGGTAGGCCATACATGCAGGGAATGGCATCCCTTATGTGGCCGGTTTATCAGAGAAGCTAAAAAGGATCTTTCGTAATCACAATATCCCAGTCAACTTTAAGCCAGAGAACACCCTGCGGCAGAGACTGGTCCATCAGAAGGACAAAACATCCAGACACAAACAGAGTGATGTGGTGTATGCAATTAAGTGTAGTCAGGAGTGTAATGACTGTACATCGGTGAAACAAAACAGCCGCTGCACAAGCACATGGCCCAACACAGGAGGGCCAACCCCAGTGGACCAGAGTCAGCAGTCCACCTCCACCTAGAGGACACAGGACATTCTTTTGAGGACAGTGAAGTCCAGATCCTTTCCAGAGAACACCACTGGTTTGAAAGAGCTATTTTTGTCCAAATGGAACACCCCTCTCTAAACAGTGGTGGTGGACTAAGACACAACTTGTTTACCATTTACAACTCTGTTTTGAAATCTCTACTCAAATATTTCCACCTTAATTCACACCAGGACAATAGGCGTAGGTCCACATGTGAGGGTTCAAAGACAGGTAACGACTCTCACTGATACCTGACCCTAATGACTCAGTTGTTAGAGGACATTGTTGGCCACCAAAGGACTGGAACCGCAACGAGTCAGTCATTAGGGGACATTGTTGGCAGTCGAAGGACTGAAACACCACCTACTCACCTCTTGCTCACCACCAGTCGGACAGAACTGATGAAGCCCCTTGGATGAGAGGTGAAACATCTTCTACCTAAAAACTACGTCCAGATGTTTTTTTCCATGTTTTTTCAGCATACTACGACCTGGATGATTGAGAATTTGCATGGACATCTGACTGGTCTATGGCCACATGACCATGTACCTAACCCACTAATGTGCATGTTTTTTTTGTCCTTGTATATGATTGTTTTTTTTTATTTTGTGTTATTTATAGGACTCTTTGTTGTGTACCAGAACAAGGCTTCATGCCAAATTGCGTTGGCACACTGTGGTGTGTCATGATGGCTGCAATAACATCTGTTTTAGTAATCGATTAATTTGTTTGATTGATTATTTAGATTGTAATTAAGAACATGAAGGAGTTTGTTTTCAACATTTTACTGTAAAAACCTGAATACTTGTGTGGAGATGACAATAAACCTGAACCTTGATGAAGTTTTTGTCAGTTGACTGTGAAACACAGACTTTTTCACTTCAGTCTGCAGACCCTGGATCAGAACTGCTGCTTGGCTCCGCCTCATCGCTGGCCTCATCTCAAACAGGTGCTTCACTAAGTCCTGCCCCTCCGTCTGACAGGTCCCACCCAACGTCATCAGCCAGTGCGAGCACAGAAACAAATGCTCCACCTGCCACTGGACCCACCCCCTCTAAGCTATCTGCTGACTCCTGGATGACATCACAGCTGCTGGCCACACCCCCAGTGCTGTGTCAGAGTCAGGTGATCATTGTGGAGTCAGGAGGTCAGACTGTGCCCTGTGAACACATGGTGAGACTGAAAGCACTCATTTGTTCTTCACTGGTCAGTTTATTAGGAACACCCAGCGCAAACTAGCTCAAATTTCTTTTTCATACTTTTTTGTTTTAACGATTGTCTTATGTCACGTTCACTGACACAGGTCGTTCCCCTGCCTACCAATGACTATGGACATGAAACATGATGTCATTCATAGTGACAGGCTCGGCCCTGCCCCTTCTCCTATCTCAGGTGTTCTCTCGGCTGTTTTAGTAAAAGTGTTTCCCAGGAGCTTTAAGGCAAACTGTTAGTAGGAGGTGGGAGGAGGACTCCTGTGCTCAGATACAATGCTCTGTGAAGACAGATCCTTATTTTATTTCTGTTTAATGTGGTTCCAGTGTGGTGGGTCCACTGAGCTGTCACACACCCCTGTGTCTAAGTGTTAATCTTGGTGAGGTTGGTACAGTGGAATGAAAACAGATCTAGAAACTTTAAAAGGTTGTTTTTCTGTGTGTTATCATTGTGTCAGGTGATCGTGGCGGGCCAATCAGAGGGCAGAGAGGCGTTTGTCATCCCGTCCAGTCAGGATTCTGGGTCCTCGAACAGTCCAGCAGGTAGTTGACGTGTACTGATCTGTCTGTTAATGTGGAGACCTCTGAGTTTGTTTGTTTGTTTATGTTGTGTGCTTATGTTGTGTGCAGGTCCTGTTGTTGACATCCCGGTAACCACAGTGACAGACTACAACTCCACCTCCAGCATGCTTCTTGCTGAACCAGCAGCAGCAGTCAGGTTGTTTGAAGCTGTGCTCTCATTTAAATTATTCACCACCAACAAATGCTGGAACAGAATCCAAACCACAGCACGGTGGTTGGTAGGGCTGGGCAATTAATTAAATTTCATTTTCAATAACAAGTTTGGCTTCCAATGATTATGAAGACAAAATAATTGAGAGAAAGCGATTATTGTGCTGCATGCCTTTTCGCTATGATGCTCTCGCTGTGTCTTGTTATAAATCCAGCGCACCCCAGCATTTTTTGCTTGCATAGCTGAATGAAAGATTACTTGTGCTGATGGCACCCATGGGTGGAGCCAAGGGGTGGCACCAGACATCCCCAGAATCAGAATGGCCCCCAGGCACCACTCCTGCCAGAATGAAAATGAGATGCTTGGCAGTATTAATGAATGAAAAATGCGAAACAATGCCAAATTGTTGTCTCAGCTAACATTTTCTGGTGCTTTAGAATTGATTTTCGTGAAATTACTCTTATTTTATATCATGCAGACGGCAGCCATGTCCCCGGCCGGGAGTAAATAAGGAGCGTAGCCAAAGTTGGCTAAAGACAGCTGTATGTGTGTCTGACTTTTAAACAGAAAGCAACTTGATTCTTAATCTGTGGTTTATTAATCAGTAAAATTAGGGGTTTAATTTACTTTTTACTGTTATTTCAAATGTGCAACCCCTCTCTCAGTCTGTGCCCCAGCCTGGCCACCCTGTTCAAAATTTCTTAGGGTCACCCCTGAGTAAGAGTAATCTATCAAAACCCCCTTTCAGGAAAATTCACTGTTAAAAGAAAAGCTTCTGAGGTTCAGTAAATGATGATGTTTCCAAAATCAATGAGTAACTGTGTTAAATAATCGTGATCTCAGTAAAAAAAAAGTCACTTTTGGCTTTTCCCATTTAGGGGTCACCACAGCGAATCGTCATGGTGACGACTTGCATGTTGACATTTGGCACGTGTTTTATGCCGGATGCCCTTCCTGACACAACCCTAACTCGAACTCGGGCCGCAGCGGCGAGAGCGCTGCGCCTTAACCACTAGCCTACCAGGGACAGCAATCATGATCTCAGTATTGACCAGAATGATTTTTGCCTTAGTGGTGCCGCCCTAGTGGCTGGTAGAGATCATCAAGTAGACACCCTGTCAGAAACACTGCAGACAAATGAAACTCAGCCAGATAAGTACCACTGACCTGGTCTGACAGCACACTGTATATGTGACTCTAGGAAAGATGCAGCAAATGTAAAGAACAGTTTTGACACGAGTGTCTGCTGCAGTTGTTATGCTGCGCATGTGTTGTCTAGTTAGTGGATTCTTATTTGGTTTGTTTTGATTCATTCACCATTTTTTCTAAATACCACAAACATACAATTAAGTTTTCGATAATAACCTCTAGATTCCTGAGCTTTGGAAACCCAAGCTGTGCGGTCCTCATATGAGGACGCAGGGACTCTAGAGGTTAAAAGTAAAGTGAAGATGTTTTCAGAAATAAAGCCATGGATAGTTTTGTTTGTTTCTGAACTTTGTCCAAAGTTCAGCAGTGCTGAAACAATTAGTCTGTTGTTTGATTAGTGGATTGACAGGTAATTAGAGTAATCAGCAAATATATTAAGGACAGATTTGAATGATTTTTTTTTTTTTGCAAGATTTATCTTTAAATTCATTTTTCATTTTCACTTTTTCCCTTGTAGTGTCTTCCTGAAGGAGTTCACACTCCCAGTGGACAATATGTCAATGTTTTGTGTGGTTGTCTGCTTACAGTCTCATAAATGGAGTGAAGGTTGCTGGTTTGATCCCCACGTCCACGCCCTGAAAATACCGAATCCCAAATCACCCCTCATGTGCCTTGGCGGGCAAACATCTTAGTGGCTGCCCAGTAAATGTAATGCTGCAGTGAGCGGACATTTAATTGCTGTTTGTTTATTTTACCTTCACCAAGAAGGTCACATTCTTACCAGAGTATGCTGGATTGTTCACAATTCAAAAAGTAATGGATGGATTTGGGTGATTTTGTAGAGGTAGGCTACGGCCCACAGAGTAATCCATTCGATTTAGGAATTTTTTAAAGGATCTTCCACTGTTGTGGAAGAGATGGGGCCACTTTCAGTATGTTTGCTTCTAACTCTATACACAGTACCTATAATGCCTGGACAACAACTTCACAGTAACATCCCCATAAGCTCAGCCACACACCAGAGTCTGATCTGGATCCAAGTCATATTCCGGATCTGCTGATCCAGAATGTTCACATTTGCAGGACTCATATAAAACCGGCTCCTGTGAGACAGCACATGATGCTACAGACTTACAACTAAGACCAAACAGTAGCTGAAACTCTACTGACTCAGTAGGTGTCAACAAATTGGACGTATCTCCAGAAGTTACTGAGCTGGATCCTGAAGAAAACCACCATTAATGAAATGTAAATTTTCTCAAATAACTTTAAAACTACTGCTGATGTCAGTGTGATTCCAAATACCAGTGTGAGGTTTTCACAGACAAGGAGTCATATGACAAGGTTCACACTGTCAGCGGGGTGTTGCTTTTAGGTGAAGTGACACTGTGGACACGGAGGTAGAGGTTTGTGTTCTCTGAGTGCTGTCTAGTTGTATTTGTGTGGACCCCATAAGGACTAGTGACCACTTTGTGGAAGCTACTTGGGATCTGAATACAGAGTAAAGTGTAGTAACAGTGTGCATTGTTCTCAGCAGTCTGGATGCGTCTGCTTGCATGAAGGCGCTGCCCTCCAGCACCCCCAGCTGGGCTCTGAGACTACACAGCGCTCAGGTCTGTATGCCCAGACACACACATTTTTCTTTATTATGAATGGAACAGTGTCGGCTCTGATCTCCTCCTGTTGTCAGCAGAAGTTGGGAGATTCCTATAGAGGTTTCTGCTGTTCGGAGACAGAGCTGGAGGCCATCTTGTTGCTCCATAAGCAGCAGACCGGGTGTGTTTTCGGGACCCGTCAGTCGCCGTCTGTAGATAAACCAGCAACCAGGCTCATGTGGAAGTCGCAGTACATCCCCTATGACGGCATCCCATTCATCAACACAGGTCCGTCGTGGCTTTGGTCCATAGGATTTGTTGTGAACCTGTGATGTTTGTCTCCAACAGACACCCAGTTTGACTGTGATCAGAATCATTGGAGGGATAAGGTAGTGAAAAGAGGAGCATTATACAGTGTCAGGAAAAAGTGATAGCACTGACTTTACAGTTTTATGATTAAATTGGTCTTGAAATGTGATCTGATCATCACCAAGGTCACAAATATCAACAAACACAATATTTCTAAGCTGATAAACCACAAACAGTCCTGATCTTTCATGTCCTTGAACACACCCATTAAACATAAACAGCGATGGTGGACAAAGTCATGGCGACAGTGCTTTAATAACTCGTTGCACCACCTTTGAGTTTTGGACCATTCTTCCTGACAGAGCTGCTTCAGCTCAGACATATTCTCTGAGCAGAAAACCAGGAAATTGCAACACAACAAACCTTACAACTTTTTTTTTGCCACTGTACATGTGTGATCCATGAGGTCCAGTAAAGATGAAAGTACTGCTATTGGCTCGGCCACCCCTGTAGGTTGTAGTGGTCCCTGCAGAGCCCCCTGAAGTGATGCTGATGTGTTATTGTTCCTTTGCACAGGAAGAGCTTATTTGTAGCTTTTATTTTGATGTTCAACTTGTGAAATCAAGTGAAATCTTATTTCTGCAGCCCAGTATCACAAAATTAACCTCAGGGAGCTTTATGGTCTGTTCAGACAGCCTCTGTTCTGGAATGAGAGAAGGACAAATGCCCCCAAAAATGGAAGACATCTGTATAGAAGTCAGGCCTGTTGAGGTCAGGGTGAGTCAGTCCACATCCATGTGTGGATCTGGACTTTAACAGTAGGCTTTCCTGATGGTGTGTCTGCAGGCAGCAGAGCGATTGTGATGGAGTGTCAGTTTGGACCTCGAAGAAAAGGACTGCAGCCGAGGAAGAGCTCTGAACTCAGCGCAGAGGTCACATTCAGAGCCACCTGTCCTGCCAGGTAAGCACAAAACACAATACGTGTCACCTGAACACTGCAGTTGTTTTAACTTGTGATTTTAACTCGAGCATCTCATACAGCGCAGTACAGTTTTAAAGCAGCATCAGAGTTTGGTTATGTGTTCTTTAACAGGATTCCAAATAAAGAAATACTTTATTGCAGAAAATAAATCAAAGGAAGCAGCTACTGTACACAGAGTAACACAGAGGGAACAATTAAAAAATAACAGCACAGTTTACAATCAGATCAAAACAGGGAAGGCGGTGTCTGTCAGTGTTTTACCTGTGGACATGACCAGGACATGTAAGTGTGGTCCAGCACTGCAGTTTGGCATCTTGTGACCAGTTTCCATGTGATCTCCCTCCAGGTGATGGAATTAAAATGACATAATGTCTCTGCCTTTGCAGTGATGCTGTTTGTCTCTGGGTTCATGGACAAAATCACTAGATACACACTGAAAGTTTAACATTTTCTTGTTCATTCGTTGTCGTAGCAACACGTCTCAGTTGTAGATATCAAAATATACAGATTTCATTATGTGGAGTATAAGCTCATTTCATTTTGTGTCAATTATTTGAGTTGTGAAATATTTCATGCAAATAATTAGAACGGAAACAAACGACTATTTGCATTATAAATTAATCTGTTGATTGTTTTTTCACTTAACAATTTTGTCTATAAAATGACATAAAGTAGTGAGAAATGCAAAGTATAAAGTCCCACTCACCGAGGTGACGCCCCCAGATGTTTTGTCTAAAATCCAAACAATATTTTCACACATTTAACGTGCCCTTAGTCCACGCTTCCATTTAAGCATCTTTCAGGAAAACACATAAAGAAGAACCCAGCTGAGGATCTTTGCAATAGATTCAGAATGTTTGGGGGTGTTGTATTAGGACAGGATATCAGCACTGATGTCCAGATTCAGTTTGATTTCCACATCCAGAATCAGTTCAGTTGGATTCTTAATGACTCAAGAAGCTTTGTTATCCTTCAGCAGTACGTACAGACATACAGTGGAGTGCAGTGTCGTTCCTCTAGGGCCTAGGCCCACATTGTAATATACTGCACACGTACTTTAAATATACACATAGTTAAACAAGGTATCATCTTTAAAAAAATTTTTTAAACATGATAGAATAAGTTATGAATAAGGTAGTTGAAATGAATAGTATAAAATGACACAAATATTCATTCAAATAATACCTGCAATTAATTGGAAAACGGATCTTTTCATTTATCAGCCCTGAGCTGTGAGTCGGTTCGTCGTCTTTTTCAGGATCTACATAAAGAAAGTTCGGAAGTTTCCAGAGTTTAAAGTTCCCACAGAGCCGGAGGCAGACAGGAAGACCGTGAGACTGGAACAGGAGAAGGCCTTTCAGTGTCTGAAGACCCAGAACCTGGAGACGGGGGGAGTCATCAGGTAGAACATGTGCACCTGGGCCGTCAGGTACCGCCTGAGCACATGTTACATCCTGTTTCCTGTCTGGCTGTGTTTGTAGGTTTTACCTGCAGCTGCCCACTGAGAAAGCTCACCTGTACCACACTGAGGACTTGCCCCCCATCCCCCCGCCTCCCGCCGACCTCACCCCTCCAACCACCCAACCTGAAGAGGAGGAGGAGATGATGGAGGAGTTAGTGGAGCAGGTAGGGGAGTACTGTTAGTGCCCGTTTCACATGTGTCATCAACAGACTACACTTGGAAGAGGTTCAAGGAGTCCTTCGAGTGTTTAAAGGATCCTTGATGAGATAATACAGGTTGACACAAGCTATTTGCATTTTGACAGTTTGTGATAGTGCTGCCTGTATAGGAAATCACTTCCTGGCCTCTATCTGCAGTTCATACCACAGCAACACAGTGACGTGACATCATATGCAAACCACCAGCTGCAGTGACGTCTCTATCCTGTTTCGTGGTTATCCAGACTTTTGACCATGCTTAACCTTCGTTAAGTAACCCACCATCATGTTAACATCGAGAGGCATCCTGCACTGAATGTTTGTTGCTAGGTTAATCCACAGGACCATAGACATGCTGTATATTATGTGCACTGCACGATAATGTTTTATTCAGTAGCAGGCGAGTCTTTCAATTCAGTTGAAAGACTGCTCCTCTTCATAACAAGAATCACGTCCAACATACAGTATGTATGTTCAGTTTGTACCTTTTTCACGTAATAAAGTTTAACCATGCACAACATGGCCTTTTCTCCATCTCTGTTCATCTGCTTTTGTCTTCCTCCCCTCCATCTGAGTTTCACCCCTCGTAATAGTCATGCGATTGCCAATGGCCTATAAGGTCCTTCAGAAAGCTCAAGGTTCCTTGGAAGAGTTGCTGTGAATGTTTAACCTTGGGGAGGTTCCAGGAGTCCTGGAAGAAGCCTGGGGAAGTTCAAGGAATCCTTGAGGAAGTTGTACGGGTCATTGAGGGGTATTCAGTAGTTGAAGTTACTGTATGTTGTCCTTGAGAAGATTCCAGGAGGTTAGGATGCCATAGATGAGGTATGAGGTCCTTGGGGAAATGAGTCACTGAGGGGGTTTAGGGAGTCCTGATGGAGATAACAGGAGTGCCTAAGAAAAATCAGGGGGTCCTTGAGGATTTTTTTTAGATCCTTAAGGAAGCTGTGGCGTCATGGAAGAGGTTATGGGGTCCTTAGAGGATTATTAGGGGTACTTGAAGAGGGTTCCGGGAGTCCTTGCCAGTCACGGAGCTAAACGTAAAGTTTGTCCTGAGGGTGGTGCTACAGGAAAGCTCATGGAGTCATCAAAACCTGAAGAGCAGTAAGGAGATCATGAAGATTTACTGAAGACCTGTCCTAAACAGAGTTTGATTATTGATTAAAATGATTTATTGTATCTTACTAAGATTCACAGGTTTCACAGCAGAGCTCTTTCAGGTAGCAGCGTGCTAACAGATCCCTTCCCCACCAGGATGGTGTCATCCCGTCTCGTCTCCACCCGCAGGTGGCAGAGAGGATCAAACAGCTGGTGGCTGCGGGTCATCATCAGGTCTACACCATCCGTAAACAACTCAGGTAAGAACCACACCTGTGACAAACATCTAACAGTCAGATGTGTTACAGGCCCGAGCTGAGGTTGTGTGTGTTTTTTGTGCATCATCAGGCGTTTTGTGGAGAAGGAACTGTTTAAATGTGATGGACTTCCAGACAGACACAACCTGAGGTTCTTCCCCACCATCAACGACATCAGGAACCACATACACGAGTCCCAGAAGGCCCTGGGGCTGACAGCCGACACCACAGAGGTCTGATGTTGCAGTGGTCCCTCAAGACCCCCACATACAGCCCATCAGGATCATTTTAATGAATCACAATCACACACAAAGAATAATCACCATAATAATCCTGCAGGTTGTGGATTACTGGTGTCTGTGTCTCCCTCTAGTGGTCAGAAGACAGCACCGACCCTCAGATGGAGACGGTCACTCTGACACTGACTCCTGCTGCTGAAGGTAACTCACATGCATCTGTCTTTCTGTAGTTGTGAGGACTATGACCTGAACTTTAAAACTAAGTCTCCACCTTCAAACAGACCTTTGAAGGTGTGAAGACCGAACAGCATGTCCTCACTGAAACCCTGCAGGACCAGCACAGTGTCCTCCAAGACCCCTGAATCTTCATCAAAGCCTCCATGTAATCTGTCAAGGACCCCTGAATCCTCCACAGAGAACTGCAGAACTAGACTATTGGTTTAGACTTTTCAAACCTTTGCAGAAAAATCATCAGACTGTAGTTTAAATGTTGCTGTAGTGGACTCTGCAGCCTGTAGCGTGCTCTTGTTTTAATGTCTCTGTCTGCAGTTTTAGATGGCAGTGACACTTTGCCCCCTGAAGCCTTCCAGCTTTTCAGTTCTCTGTCTTCTCTGCAGCCAAGGATCTTTGCTCAGCTGCAGGTCAGAAAATACATTTACCTATAATAGTCGGTTCAGAATCAGTGAGTTTATTGAAACGTGTTTCCTCTGGCAGGGAATCTTGCTGCCGCCACCTCCTCTGTTCCCGTCCTCCATCCTCCAGATTCCTGAAGTGGAGGCATCGGGGTCGCTGGGCTCTGAGGAGGAGCTCGGTGAGGGGCAGCAGGTGGTTCTGCATAACATTGACCACAGAGCAGGTAATCGCATGTGTAAGCTGCGTTCAGGGGCCTCCTCCGGTTCTGTACCAGAAACAAATTCCTTGTGTGTAACATACTTGGACAAATAAAGGTTTTTATCCTTATTATTATCCTTATCCAAAGGACACGGTCTGCAAAGGCCTTTGTAGCCATTGTAGGTTAACCACTCTCAAAGGTCCAGTGACACACCACTAAAGACAGATGATCATTGCGAAACAGGAAGAAGTCACTCTAATCAAGTCTGGGAATTGTTGGACTAAACTGCAGTAACAAGATAGCATAGCTAGCTAATGACACACTCACTCTTGGCCCTGGTACTGACACCAGCTTGCATTACCATGACATTCTAACAATAGCAGCTGACAGTGCTTAAACTTCTGTTTTTGTGTTTCACTTTAGACTATGGTAGTTTTGAGTATGCCACATGAAGAAATGAACTGTTTTATTCTCAGCTCTGGTTGGTGCAAGTGTGCTTCAGGTGGAGGCGAAAGAAGAAGAGGAGGAGGAGGTGAAGAAGAAGAAGAAGAAGCTGGAGGACTCGACTTTTACATTGAATCAACAGCACTAATTCCATCAGTATGTCATACTCACTGCTCTGCTCACATGAGCTTTTTTTTACCATTATGTGTCATTGCCTCTACTTTGCTGTTTTTGCAGTCATGGTTAACACTTCCTGCTCATTTCACCTTAAAAGCCTGCCAGAGAAGTAATGGCTTTGGTCCCTTTAACAATCAAAAAACAACAAATAATTTAGGAATTACTACTGAAAAAAAAGTATTTATGTCAGAAACACCAAGTAAATTGTTAGTAAAAGCAAGTTCTCTCTACAGACAAGTTAAATACCCCCCCCTCGCTACCACTGCCAGGTTTTATCATCTGAAGAGCTCCCAAAAGAAAAGTTTTAATGTAAAGTTTATGATACAGTCTGAAGTGTGCAGGAAAAGACTCAGGGCTGGTTGTAAATTTTGTTCATGTAAAAAAAAGTGTTTCGTATGGTCTTAATATTTGCATTTTTATGATGGAATATGTTCTCAGTAGATTATTTCAGCTGCTAATGTTGTGTGTTTTTTAACAAGGCCTTCAGTTATAATGACCAAAATTGAACAAAATAAAAGAAATGATATCTTGATTCAGTAATTCTCGAGTTTGCCCAGTTTTTTGTTGTAACAGAAACATTTTAGCACAATCTGAGACACTTTTCATATGACATATTTTGTCACTATTTACTCCAAATTATTATCCTTTTCTTGTAGCAACATATCCCAGTTCAACAGTGTACACAAACTGCTGTGCACCCAAGTCAAACTCCATAAATTGTCTTCAGATGTTTTGTCGGTCAGATTAACCTCGACGTTTTCAGTGTATTATCAAAGACGGCCTTTTTATATTTCGTGTCCAGGTTGCAGCCACAATGTTCAGTCCACATGTCACCTTGTCCTGTTGGACAGCACAGTCCATTATCTTGCTAAATGCACAGTTCATCCCATAAAAGGTAACAAAATAACATACTTTAATCTCGTAGGATGAGCGCCACATACACACTACGGTGTCCTTCAGGTCACTGGAGCTGTGTGAAGTTCCTTCCTGGTTCAAACCGAACAACTACAGACCTGTCGCCCTGACGTCTATAGTTATGAAGTCCTTTGAAAGACTGGTGTTGGCCCACCTGAAGGACACCGTAGACCCCCTGCAGGACCCCCTGCAGTTTGCCTACCGGCATCGTCCACCATCCATCGTATTGTTTCTCAAACCTACAGTAGAACTCATTAAGTTCATCTGCTAGTTCATGGTCCTCCACAGCAAGGGGGGATGGTTTGCTGTAGCCAGTGATGTCTTTCAGGCTTCTCCACACAGACGAGGGGCCATTGTCCAACCACAGTCTTGATGAGTTAATGGGTTAATGGTTTGCTCAATTACCCATTTAACAGTTGTCATAGTGATACCATCACTATCACTAGATGTTTTGTTACCTCATTTATTCACTATCTCTATAATTTCCTTTTCAACTATGGGCTTCAAAAACATAGGAACTCATGTTCCTTTCGATTGTATTATTATTTATAGTGA